ATTTGATAGTTAGTGAATATAAATTAGTGTTTGAGAATAATACTTATTTAATATTATTAGATGATAAGATCATCACTAGAGGAACATTGCATAATAGTTTGTTCATGCTAGACACTACTCCACATATCATGAATGTAAGTATGTCCAAGAGGAAATTAGATGAGGTAACGGTGCATATATGTGGCATTGTAGGGTAGGTCATATCCATGAGGGAATGATTCAAAAGTTGCTAATGTATAGATATCTAGATCCATTCTACTATGAGTCATATATAACTTGTGAGCCTTGCCTTCGTGGAAAACTGACCAACTCTCCTTTTAGTGGAATTGGAGAGAGAGCCAATAAGCTGTTGGAACTCATACATAGTGATGTATGTGAACCCATGTCAACTCATGCCATAGGTGGTTGCTCCTACTTTATTACTGTTACTGATGATTTCTCAAGGTATGGATATGTGTACTTGATAAACTACAAGTTTGAGGCCTTTGAGAAATTCAGAGAGTATAAAAATGAAGTAAAGAACTAGACTGGAAAGAGTATCAAGACTCTTCGATCAGATCGGGGAGGTGAGTACTTGAGTACAAAGTTCACTCAATTCCTCAAGGACCATAAGATTCTCTCCCAACGGATACCTTCTTATACACCTCAACTCAATGGTGTATTTGAAAGGAGGAATCGTACACTGTTAGACATGATGCGGTCCATGATGAGCTTCGCCGACCTACCCATCTCATTCCGGGGATACGCCCTAGAGACCACAGCTTACCTTCTGAACAGAGTTCCAACTAAGTCGACAGTGTCTACACCATTTGAGATATGAAAAGGAGATTGATATCATTAACTATCTAGCATTCCATGAGTGAATCAATTAGTGAACTCATTCTCCAATGAGCACCTACACTATAGCCCTAGTGTCCATATATGAGCAGTTATAAGACCACCTGCCTCCATCATATGTACGGGTATACAGTACACCAGTCTGTCTGGTTATCTCGATGTCCCTTTCGAGTAACCTATGACCGGGATTGTTTAGGATATGTGTTTAAAGGTGAATCGATCTCATTATCGTGATCTCATCGTGATTTGATTCATAGTGCACAGATTCATGGATATCACAATACATTTATGCATCAAGTAATATAAAGTGAGAAAACATCATAATAATAATTAGTAAAACGAATATGTATTATGTCACATGTGTCATCACTCACCTGATTAGCTTGCAAGGCACCTATGACTAGTAGGTTTGCTTACCTCTGGGTGAGCAACATAAGGGGTCAGCTATCACATATCCATTTATTGTATAGAGAGCGTTGCTCTCCTCGGGAGGGTGACGAACATGAGGTAGCACTAATGGGACTCTCATTTGTCACTCTTGAGTTTGCATACTCTAGATTTAGTTGGGTATTTTAATGTCATGTAATAAGTTGAGATGAAGGCATGGAGTCGGTTGAGGATTGGGCAATCGATGATGACATTGTAAGCCGATAGGACATCAATAGCCAAGAACTTGGTCTTCCCTTTCTTTGAACAATTTCTTTACTTGAGGTGACGTAGCGGTCCATCATCCCCAAGGGAGTGATTAAATCTCTGGTGAAATCAGTGAGAGTAGATGAGTTGGGTTGCAGGTCTTTTCTACTTAGTCTAATCTCTTGGAAGGTGTCATAATAGAGGATGTTGGCTGAGCTCCTCATATCAACCAAGATCTTCTTCGATAAGGCATTGACAATTCTAAGCGAGATGATCAAGGCATCGTTAGGGTCAGGGTCCAAGTGCTTAACCTCTTCTTCTCTAAACACAACTGGGGGATCTCCCATTAGGCTAAACCTTTTAGCACGGGGCTCTTGCACATAACTTTTGTGGGAAGATAAGTTGTTTTCACCCAAATCTGAGTCCCCCAACTGTCATGTCCACAACTGTTCGATGGGTCCTCTTGGTCTTAGAGATGTCCCTTGAACCCGGTGGAGGTAGCAGTTAAGGTGCCCCCTTTAAATGAGATCCTCCATCTATTGTTTCATATCATAATAATCCTCGGTGTTATGCTCATGGTCTTAGTAGAAATGGTAGAACTTGAAATAATTTTGCTTGTTTAGCAAAGTTTAAAAAAGAGGATCCACACACCTTTCTCCCTTATCTGCGTCAACATCTTAGTATGAGATAAGTTTAATGGGGTGAATTCCTAATGAGGAAGAGTTTGGTCCCCTTGGTGCATGTCATTGTGAGGTCGATTTGAGTTATTTGGCCGTGAGCTTTTCTCCTATTTGATAGCCTTCTTGAGCTCTAAGTTTCTCTTCCTAGTGATTATCGTTTCTGCCACTATATGCTGATTCGCCTCTTGCAACTAAGTTTCTGCAACTATGTGTTGATTGGCCTCTTGCTAGAGGAAAGTGGTTGGTGGCCGGGTGATGATTGAGTAGAAAACCTTTGAGGGCTGGAGGCAACCAATATAGGCATTAATCAAGACCGATGAGCTTAGATCTACCATTAGCCTAACCTTATTGTTGAAGCGTTTGATATAGTTAGCAAGAGACTCCTTGTCCATCTGTCATATGTCCAACAAGGAAGAGGTAGACTACATCGGTAATTTGTAACTGATAAAATTAGACTCAAACTCCTTGACTAGTTTCCCAAAGGATGAGATCGATTTGGGAGGGAGTTTGGAGAACCATTCACTTGCCGCCACCCTAAGAGTTGTTGAGGAAAGTGTGGCACATAAGCGAGTCCACCATCCTAAAACAACGTCATTTGGGCTTCATGGGTTAGAACTCACTTCATAGATCTCTAAGGTTGGTATTCTAGACCATTGCAGAATTGGTTCTTCCATGATGGCTTTTAACAAAAGGAGACTTGAGGTAAGGATTGGCCTCAGGTTGCTTTCTCTGCCTTATTTCCCTTTTAATGTCCTCTAACCATTTATCTATCTCAAAGAGTGATCCTACACATTAGGAGGGGATTCGACTGATTGGGCAATTGACCCTTCTTGGTTCGTCCACTTCCTAAAGAAGATGATTAAGTGGAGCTAATGGGGGGGTGATTTGGAGAGTTGTCTTCTTAGTGTGGCTTGGTCTCAAGTGGGCACAATTCTGCCATTATATTGGGAGCAGGGGCTGATGATGGTACTAGAGTAGGAAAGTCGGGGTGTGAGGAGTGGGATGTGCCTCTTATTGTGCTACCTAAATTAGCTAAGGGAGATAAGGGGCTATGGATTGGAATACTCTTGTCAATAACTAGACTTGTTGAGTAAGGTTATGAAAGGCTTCAGCGGGCATGGTTACTGTCTGTGCTACTGGAGCTGTTGGTTGGATGGGTGGTGGGTTAGTCGTCAAGTCTCGAAACAATTGACAAAAGAGCTGATGATTGGGTGATTGGAAAGTGGGGTAAGCAGGTTTGACCAAGGGTCTAGGCTGGATTGGTCCTAGAAGAAACAATATTAGGAGGTTCGAGAAGGTGCTTCTGGTGGAGTCGGGCTCAGTCCCCCCTATCCATTTGGCCTACTTGAACCATTTAGGCTATTGGGCTCCTTAGGGTTCGGCCTTGATGGTCTTGTAAAGTTTTCCTGAAACATTTTAGAGGCTCTCCTTCTAGCACTAATATGTTAATATAGATTATGATTATCCGAGTTGGAGTGAGATGCAGATCCAACCGAAGCTAGTTCCAAGCCTATCTCAATTCCCGATGGTAGTTCTTCGAAGTGTTGATCTTGTAAAAACTAGGTCGACGATATTCTCGAGAAATGCTCCTCCAACAATCAACTTAATTCACAAGTTCAGATTGCTCGAACTAATAAATTGGTGTTGAAAGAGAAGTCGTGTAAGTGCATACTTGAAGGTTCCTTTTATAGGTGATTCGAGAGTAGTTATATTTGAGATTATTAGCAGCAAGAGAACATACGATATTTTGGGCATGGATATAGCGTGATGTTCATTATTCTTGAGGTCCATATTATCTGTCGATGTCAATCACGAGGTTTGAATAGTTAAATATTCAACCACGTATGACTTGAGATGACCACGCATCATCGGATCCGACCGTCACGTGTAGGCCACGTTTAATCGACAGAATCTTCGGGCCATCAACCTCTAGGCCATGTATCACTACCTGATAGTTATATGCTCACAATGCCATTTCTAAATATATTTATGCTTCGGTGGAACAACCACAGTAATCCATCTACGTTTGCTCTTTACTAATTCGATATCTTTTTGCTTATGTTACAAAAAGAGTGATTCTTCGTAAGCAACTATGTTGTAAGAGTATCGCATGAGGGGAAAAGTTAAATCATGAGGGTTCAAAAGAAAAAAGAAAAAAGAAATCTTTTAGTTCTTTTACATTGGGAAACAGGTTGAGTGTTGTTGTTTTTAGTTCTTTTAATTTGGGAAACAGGTTGATTGAGAAAGATTCACTTATGCTTTCTGTTATTACCTCATTTACTGCAGATTCGTTTCAGCTCAGGGATCGTTAAGATGGATATAGCAAGTCACACCATTAGGATGAATTATTTTTATATGATTAGTATGACTAGTCATCTTTGATGGATCAATTATTTCTAACTTTAATTAATTTGTTATAATAAACCCAGAAGCATTATAACGTGCAAAGTTGCGAGTCCAACGTTTAGGAAAAGAAACAAGAGAAGATGTGAGCCGCTGCGTGTACTGACAGTCGCCTACGGACATTCATAGAGTGAAACTGGTCATCTCACAGTCACATTCCTCTCACAAGATGAACACAGAAAACTACAAAAACAACGCACATGGTTTGGAAGATGAGAATCTTGGTTTGATATTAACACTACCTGAAAGCTTCCTATACTTAGTAGCCATACTTTGAAAGCATGCCTCTTCCTTGGTCACCAAGAAAGCAGGGCATGTGGCGCCAGAAGACTTCAATCACCACCATTTGTTTATTGGTGCAGTCCTCTTCTTGCTCTATCCACCAAGTTTGACGTCCATAAAAGCCATTGAAGCCAGCAGTCTGACACAAGACAATTACCAGGTCTTATGGAGCTATCTTCCCCACAGCTAGTCTGCTTCCTCCTCTTGCCTCTCTCCCTCTGCCTCTTCTTCCTCTACAGGAGCTGGTCAGAGCGAAGCAGATGCACTGGCCTCAAGCCCTACCTCTTGCTCGGTCTCCTTCCCCAGTTCCTCAAAACCGGCACCGATTTCTCGACTGGATCACCGACGTCCTCGTCCACAGCCCCACCCACTCGATGACCTTCCGGAGCCCGGGGCAGGTCGGAGGTGTCATCACCGCCAACCCCTCCAACGTCGAACACGTGCTCAAGTCCAACTTCGAGAACTACCCCAAGGGCGAGCGCTCCTTCCGCATGCTGGTGGACTTCCTCGGCCATGGCATCTTCAACTCGGACGGCGAAGAGTGGAAGGGGCAGCGCAAGCAGGCGAGCTACGAGTTCAGCAAGCGCTCCCTTCGCAACTTCATGGTGGACACCATGCAGTCGGAGATTGCCCACAGGCTGCTGCCGCTGATGAGGAGAGCGGGAGAGAAGGGCGAGACGATGGATCTGCAGAGCGTCTTGGAGCGCTTCGCCTTTGACAGCATCTGCAAGGTCGCCTTCGACGAAGACCCCGCGTGCCTCGCGGAGGACGCCGTTGCCGATGCCACTTCCTCGAGCTTCATGAGAGCCTTCGAGGAAGCGCAGAACCTGATCGTTGGCCGGTTCATGGATGCTTTCGAGATCACGTGGCGGGTGAAGAAGCTGCTCGACATCGGGTCGGAGAGGCGGCTGAGAGAACTGCTCGCGGTCGTGCACGGTTACGCCATGCGGATCATTCGAGCAAGGAAGGAGAAAGCCTCAGAGCTGGACGAACACCACGACCTCCTCTCTCGATTCGCCTCCAACAAGAACAACTCGGAGGAGTTCCTGCGAGACATCGTCACAAACTTCCTCGTGGCAGGCAGGGAGACGACATCATCGGCCCTGACATGGTTCTTCTGGATCCTGTCGACGAGGCCCGACGTGGAGAAGAAGATACTGGACGAGGTCACAAGTGTAAGGACCATCAACAAGAACACAAGCGAAACGTTCAGCTTCGACGAGCTCCGAGAAATGCATTACCTCCACGCCGCGGTGACGGAGTCGATGAGATTGTATCCTCCGGTACCGATCGACACACAGTCATGCCTGGAAGACGACATCATGCCCGACGGGACCTTCGTGGGCAAAGGATGGTTTGTGACTTACAGCGCTTACGCCATGGGGAGGTTGGAGGACATATGGGGGCGAGACTGCAACGAGTACAAGCCGGAGAGGTGGCTGGAGAACGGAGTCTTTAGACCCGAAAGCCCGTTCCGATTCCCGGTGTTCCATGCAGGCCCAAGGATGTGTCTGGGGAAGGAGATGGCGTATGTACAGATGAAGTCCATCGTAGCCAGAGTGGTGGAAAGGTTCGAGATCGACGTGGTGGGGAAGGAGAAGACCCCGGAGCACGTGCTGTCCCTCACGCTGAGGATGAAAGGAGGCCTGCCAATTAAAGTCAAGGAGAAGGTTAAGCAGTGCTGTTAGCATCAGTAGAGTGTGGTGGTCGCATTTGTATTAGGCAAAGATGTTTGCATTATGTTTTGCTTGGATTGTTGTGTCGCAGCAGTTGAATCCTAGTTTCTGATTGCATTCACTACTTGGTATCTTGGAAATGGAAGTAGTAGTACAACTAAGCAGCGAGTGCTTTCTATTGATAGGCTTCGTTAATTGAGATGGTTTCTTTCTACATCTGACAGTGGTCGGTAAACTTCAAAATAAATGTCATCAGACATCCAGATTCCAGTCAACCCAATCATGCCCATTCTGACACATCCAGACAGTCTAACATGACTGAAAGATTAAAAAAAGTCAGACTAAATAAGCTTTTGGATTATGATCATATCCAATTTCTATGTATAGTAGCTCTATCTAGTTTAACTTTGATTCAAATAGCCGAAAAAAGTCAATATGATATCAAAGTCAAACGATCTAGATTGAAGTTACTCAGTAAAACAAAATAAAAAAGAATTTAAATCAGGTTGTCTAAGGGAAGTCAGATGCTTTAGGTGACCCAAGTGGTGGTCAAACTATGGTTTGACCTAGTGAAGATGAGTCAAAGCAATAGAAAGACATGAATAAGTGCTACCTATACAAAGTTGGAGAAAAATTAATCCTCACAAGTAAGAGAGAAATTATGCATAAATTTACAAAAAAAAAAAAAACTCTCTCAAAGTGACTCCTTTCCAATTGATCGGTGAGATAATCAATCCACACACACATACAAGAAAAGATGTTAGGGATAAAAAAAAGACATAGGTGACACAGAAATTAAGATTCGATTAGGAATAGTTCTACATGACTATAATATTAAAAACAGAGGCTATATAATTTTTTTTATTGTAACGTGAAACAATTTGATTCAAACTCAAAAAAAAAAAAACATACATGCTTCCATCAATTAATTTTTGAAAAGATCATAGTACTTGTATCACCCACTTAACACAGTAAAAAGAGTTCAAAATAAAAAATATTTCGATGAATGCAATAAAGTATCACCTTGTGTGATAAAAGTACTACACAAAGAAAATATGCAAATTATTCTGGTTTATTTATTGTAATATAAAACTATTCTATTAAATAGCTACCCTCCTTTTTCTCTGTTTTAGTTTTGCTTCTTTTTTGACCTCATCCAAAGCCTCCTCGTTAGCCCAATTTCGGCTTCCATTACTTTCTTCAATCTCCCTTTTCTCCTTTATATGATGATGCATAAAGTTCTCAGGTTTGGTCATACAAACTCCTCAAATTCTCTAAATTAGGCCTACCTTAAAATGATAATGCCATTTTATATAAAGTCGAGCATACAAGCCATTGCAAGGTGTTGAGTCCATGAATAGATTGTATGCATGATTATGGAACCAGTTTAACAAATAGACTGTATGCATCCAACCTGATATGTGTTTGATAAATAAAGCACACATGATATCGAACATACCTGATTGATATGAAGAAAAGTTTACCAATAATCTGAGCAAGAACATGTCCAGTTCCTGAAATGGTGAAAGCGGCTTCGATCTCGCACAATTATTTCCCTCATGTAGATCCCAGATATGAGCTTTGTACTCAAGTGGCAGTCACCACAGACTCTCAAATTCTTCATAATTCTGATAGGAACACTCGGATCGGATGTAAGGAGAGCAAAGGCAATAGCCAGCCTCTCACTGTGGTAGGAGAGAGCATCTTCCTTATCCTCCTCTTCAACATCAAACAACACTTCCTTTGTTCTTGGCATGTATCCAAACTCATGCAATCTTCTGTCCATTTCGTCGAGCATCTTGTAGATCTCCTTCAGAAGAGGGTGAGTTCTGTCTCCCATCAAGAACTCGTGCATGGATCCCTCAACCTCGACTAAACTAGAACCAGGTGTTTTATCAATACCCTTCTCCTTCATCACCTTTCTCACCTGCATAACACCGTCCCATCGACAAATCTTGGCAAACATGTTTGACAATAAAACGTAGTTACCACCATGCTCAGGCTCCGAATGTATCAGCTGTGCAACCGTACGCTCTCCGATCTCCAAGTTATTATGAATTCCACAAGCTGTTAACAATGACCTGTAAAGGATCGCATTTGGCTTCATAGGCATGGATTGAATGACCTGCTCGGCCTCCTCAAGCTGTCCAGATCGGCCCAAAAGATCCACCAAACATCCATAATGCTCCATCTGTGGCTTGATTCCGAAATCCTCTTGCATTTCGTCGAACAATCTCTGCCCCTCATCGACCAACCCTGCATGCGCACAAGCGCTCATGACAACTACAAATGTCACCTCGTCAACCCCCACCCCCTCGCTCGTCATCCTATGGAACAGTTCAACTGCCTGGTGACCACGCCCGTGAGTCGCAAGTCCCCGAATCATGGCGTTGTAGCAGAGCACATCTTTCTGAGACAATCTGACGAACAGTTGCTCCGCAAGATCTAATCGTCCGCATTTTGCATACATATCGATCAAAGCCGTAGCCACGACCTGGTTCATGATTAAATGATTCTGCTCGATGTAGGCATGTGCCCAGATACCCTGGCCTAGGGCTCCCAGATCACCACAAGCACCGATCAAGGCCACGAGCGTGATCTCGTTCGGCCTAAACGTGGAGGAAAGCTGCAACTTTCGGAAGAGAAACAAGGTCTGCATGCCGGAATCAGCATCCTCGACGTCGCTATAGCACCGAGCATAGGCCGAGAGCATGCAATTCCAAGCGGGCAGGTCAGGGTTTGGAATGCGGTCGAACAAGCGGCGGCCAGATGACACGTCCCCGCAGCGGGAGTAGAAGCTGAGCAGCGCGGCACGGACGAAGTGGTCGACGGAGTCGTGGCCGATGAACTTGACGACGTGGGCGTGAAGGGCGCGGCCGACTGGGACCCACGAGGGGCCGGCAGCGGCGCAGGCCTTGAGGAGGGAGGGAAAGGTGTGGTTGTTGGGCTTGGGGGAGTGGGGCTGGAGGAGGAGGACCCGGGAGTAGAGGGAGAGGGCGAGGTGGGGACGGCCGACGTCGGCGAGGGAAGAGACGAGCGTGTTGGGGAGGAAGGGGGAGGGGGAGGAGGAGGAGACCAGAGGCTGGCAGAGGAGGGCGGCGGCGTGGGGGAGAGAGGGGAGAGGGGAGGGGAGCGAGGAGAAGAGGAGAAGGAGGCGGGAGAGGGGGTACGTGTGGCGGGCAAGGCCGGTGGTGATGAAGTGGGCGTGGAGTTGGTTGAAGGCGGACAGGGTTTTGGGGCACCTCTCCAAGAGGAGGAAGGTGGGGTGGCGTTGGCAACCGCGCGGGGTGGTTGGAATGCAGATGCTGCGACGTCCCATTCGTTCATTCTCGCCATTCCAATGTGATTTAATGATGCTGTAAAACTAGATTCATGTAGAACCACATCATAAATCTTTCACGGTAGCCACACTACTTCCCCAAAAAAGTATAATTTAAAATATGTGAAGAATTTTTTGTCATCTCCAATTGAGATCTTAATATTAAATAAAAATATATTAAAAAAATTAATTCAAAGGTCATTATCACTGGGTTAATTATATATTACTTCATGTTATTATATATCTTTTAATATTTTTATTTCTATATTTTTAAAGTTAAATTAAGAATGTTATACAGTAGAATATTTAATTTTATTTTTTTCTTTGACTAAAATATCATATATATACTTAGTGGTAAACAAAGTGAGACGGAGTTAACATTTGCTGATAAACTCTATAGTATTTTTATCAACAGATTCAACGGGAGAAACGAGATTAAATACTTTACTTTTATAAGTATAGAAATTCTAATATAATTTTTTAAAATATAATAACAGAGATACTAAATATAATTAATTATAGATAATATATAATTAATCTCTTATTTTGACTTATTAAACACATATTGTATAAATATTTCTTAACTCTTAAAACTCATTAATATGAAAGCTATTTATATATTTTGACACATTTTAAATGCGATAACAATATCAAAATATTAAGAATTGAATTATAAATTTTGTTTAGATAATCTGAAACAATCTTTTGAAATCATCACATCAAATTTAAGGGCTTAAATGTTTCTAGAACGTCAATTATAATTGTTGATATATGTAAAATAAATATTTGGGAGATTATTTATATTCATTTTGAAATAATAAAAATTTAATTGACAGCCAACAAGAAATGATTTATTAAAATTAAAATCCATTTGATCAAAATTTCAATTCTCAATTATTTTTACTGTAATTACGTCATAAATTTAAAATAAAATAAAATTGATACAAAATCAAAATATGATTTCAGCTTAAATTTATAACACTAAATCGTTTGGTAATGAGAAATTTAGAACCGAGAGAAATTTATTCCCCTCAATTGATCCCTTCACCATTAGATATTTTCTCGTATGCGACAACGGGAAGAACCCAATCTTAATCAACGAATCGAACGGTTGCAATCTTTCGATCAAGCTAAACATCAATTTCCTCTTCCCCTCCCCTTATCTCCCTTCTCCCAACCCCGCGCTGCAGGCCTCCAAAAGATCTCCATTGATGGCCGCTTAAGCCCCTCTCACGGACACAAATGGAACTCTCCTCTTCTCTCCATCGTCTCCCCTCCTTGGACCTCTCTTTCTCCTCCTCTCTCTCCGCCGCCCCCCTCCAGTCCCACCTTAAATTTCCCCACTCACGCCGCCCGATCCCCCGCCGACGGGCTCTCGCCGTTGCCACCAACACCCCGCAGGAAGCACCCCCCAACAGCCCCCAGCGCCTCCTAAGAGAGCTCGCCGAGCGCAAGAAGGTCGCCTTCCCTAAGAAGAAGGTCCCTCCGCGGCGCTTCATTCTCAAACCCCCCCTCGATGATGCCAAGCTCACCCAGCGCTTTCTCAACAGCCCCCAGTTGTCCCTCAAGTCTCTACCTCTTCTGAGCTCCTGCCTGCCGCCGTCCCGGCTCAACAATGCCGATCGCACCTGGATCGACGAGTACCTCCTGGAGCTCAAGCAGGCTCTGGGGTACCCCCTTGAGCCGTCCGATCGGCTCGAGGACGACGCCAATCCCGCCAAGCATTTCGACACACTGCTGTACCTGGCGTTCCAGCACCCGGTGGCTGGCTGCGAGCGGACCAACGCCAAGCACGTCAGGAACGGCCACTCCAGGCTCTGGTTCCTGGGGCAGTTTGTGCTCGAACTGGCGTTCGCCGAGTATTTCCTTCAGCGGTACCCCCGGGAATCGCCTGCACCAATGAGGGAGAGGGTGTATGCGCTGATCGGAAAGAGGAATTTGCCCAAGTGGATCAGAGCTGCGAGCTTGCACAACCTGGTCTTCCCTTATGATGAGATGGATAAGATGATTCGGAAGGACAGGGAGCCCCCGGTGAAGTAAGTCTGCTTAAGTTATTATTCTTTTCATTCTTTTGCCTCCTAAAGTTTTTGTTCTACTGATTAATGTTTGCTAAATTTGATAGTGGCAAATTAAGTTCTCACGACAATGAGTTTATAAACTAGGTTAGGTATATTAATTTGCACCAATGTTGGCACTGACAAGCTGGTTTCTGTTTGGGATGTTCACTAGGTTTCAGATGTCAAATTCCAAACACTTAAAATATTTTGCTATTTGTACTGCTTTTTACTCCATTTAGTTGCAATGATCTGAAAATTTGAAAAAACATGCTTTATAAATATGATTTTAATGCATCTTTCACCAAAATAATCAAATTTTATGTTTGTTGCTATTCAAGTTGTAGAGACTACAGAAATTTAGGGGCAAAGAGGTAAGTTCATGCGTTATTTCTGACTCATCTCCATAGTTGAATCCAAAAGCATGATTTTCTTTTTTACCATTTTGATTTGAGTATTTTGCATTATACTTGTTGGAGCATTTTCCTGTTCTGAGATGTGATGGTTTTGGTCATGTTTACTAGTCCAAAAAATATTGACTTACTGAACCATTAGATGCAACTAACCTGTACAGCAATCGGATTCTGATGTCAGTTTGAACTTTTCTAATGGATGAGCAAGCTTTTTCATTCTCAACAGGCTGCTGCTCCAAGACATAGTTTAAACTTACAAGTGGAAGGAGTTTGGTTTAGGATAGCATGTTGAAGTTAATTATATGCACCACAAGGAAAATCTGATATGAAAAGACTTCACTTTGAGATTTTTCAAGATATGAATCTTTTGATACCGTGTTACTATGTGGCCCAAAAGATGATCTAGTAGCAACCAACGAATAACTTCATGTGCAAGGTTCAATAGGAGATCTCAAGGAAAAAATTTTGGTAGAAGAGACTTCAAGAGAAGATCCAAAAGAAATTCTTGTAGTTAAAAAAAAGGGATTTGATCAAAGAATATTCTGCTAGGATTGTGTCAGATGAGCATCTTAATGCAAGCTTCATGCATGGTTGAAGAATAGATTAACTAAGGAGATCATAAGGAACTGCCATTCAGTGGGGTTTACAACAGGGATAAAGCGAACCGACCATTAGTTTGAAGTCTTAACATGAGTTTGAAGATCTGTATGTAATGGATCAAGGGAAGCAACTGGAGGCAAGTTCATGGGTAGTTGAAGTCCTTGCTTGGATTTCCACCAAACCTATTAGAATGAGAACACTTGTGAAAGAAGTTCCTATAAGAACTACTATAATTAGGATGCATAATTTAATGTGAAAGTTCTACTGGTAGTTGTGTTACTTCATATCTCAGTGGATTCTGATATCCTCATGGATTGATGAGTCTCATCATCAATTTTTTGTTACTCTTTGGTTAGAGCTCAGGCACATTCAAAGTTCTCAAAAGGTGGTCTCATATCCTCTTTTATTTTTCTTGTTGTCTTCATTCAGGTATGTATTCTGGGCATTGTTTGGGGCCATATATTTGTGCTTTGGGATGCCTGAAGTTTACCGTGTACTTTTTGAGGCATTTGGAATGGATCCAGAAGATGAGAGTTGTCAGCCAAAGCTGAGGCGACAACTGGAAGATGTTGATTATGTTTCAGTGGAGTTTGAGAACAAACAACTTAGCTGGCAAGATGTTGCTGCATATAAGGCATGAAGCTTTTTGCGGCCTTTCTTTCTATTGCTTACTTTTAAATCAATCCTGATGCAATTTTCTACTTTCATATAATCACATTCTATCTTTATGCTGGCTCTAAACTTTTTGGACCTATATTATGCTGCAGCCTCCACAAGATGCACTTTTTGCTCATCCAAGGCTTTTTAGGGCATGTGTGCCACCAGGCATGCATCGGTTTCGAGGGAATATCTGGGACTTTGATAGCAGACCCAAAGTTATGGAAACACTGGGCTATCCTTTGCCCATGAGTGATCGAATTGCAGAAATCACTGAGGCCAGGAATATTGAACTTGGCCTTGGTCTTCAGGTAAACCACTGAATTAACTGTTCCTCAATGTGATCATTAGCTTCTTTTTGCAGAATATGATTTAAAGCTGTATACCTATTTGATAGGTTATGAAATTATAATTGTGATCATAATATGTTGGGCAACTGTTCATCATGGAGCCTGAGAGTCCATAATTTGATGAATCTACGTGCTATGGCCATCTAATCATAGGTTCTGTCCAAGCAATTCATTCTTGAGGCTCTCAAACTGCCACTTTATACATACATGATGATAGGATGTATTTTTGTTGAAATCCCTAGTACCTTTACCACACAAATTTGACCCTAGCTTGGCAAAGCAACTGCTTTTGCAACCTAGAAATGGCTGACTGATAACTGGTATAGGCAAATTATGGGGAAAAGGAACTTGCATGACCACCTCCAGAAACTATCTGAAGTATCATCCTGGGAAGACTTTGACACTGTTAATATCCGGGATGATGTTCAACTTTAGCGCATACAGTTCAAGAAATTCATAGCTGTGGTTGCAGATGTTTGTGTTGTTTGTGATTGATATTCTTCATTTGGGAAAATTAATATTAGAGCAGGAAGATGGAGATTTTGATGATATACATCTATCAAGGGATACAAATGGCTTTGAAATTCTAACTTGTTAGTTAATCCACTAAATAATAGCAGGATGATGTATCATGTTTACTAATTCAGGCATTTTGTTTTGAACCCTGTGAAATTTTGCTGACCAAAATGGTTATTTGCTGACCAGCATTGCTGGTTTTGTGAAATAATATTTAGTTAATCCACTAAATATCCAGGGGCATATGGATGCTGGTTATTTGCTGACCAAAATGGTTCATGCTATGCTGTGCTTTCTCAGCCAGCATAATTAATGTGTGATTGGTTCTACAGGAAATTAAAGAGAAAGAAAGTAGAGAAAAAAATTCTGTCAGTCAATTTTTATCATGGGTGACCAAGGGAGATTAGTCATTCAACAT